AATTGGCAGGACCTGATGTTCAATTTGGGGTTGAAGAAAAGTGAGGCCCAACAATGACCTTGAAGGTCAGACCCCTGCGGGTGCCATAGAAACACTGGGCAGGAAGGGGAGCGCACTGGGGAGAGGAACGGTGGGTCCAGGTTTTGGTGATTTTGAATTGTAATAGAGAAATCCACAAGCACATTTTCACTTGGTGCTTGGAAATTTGGGACTAGAACTTGGGAGGACAGGAGGAGTATCGTATGCACGGAGGAATATTTAAGAGCAGAACTGGGGAGGGGAAATGGGAAATTATAAGCATGGAGGCCAAGGTGGATGTACTAGGGATTGTTAGAACTTCTGAGAGGGAGAGAGAGAAGAAAAGGAAGAAACTGAAAGACCCTTGGAGAAGGGAACAAAGGACCCTTGGAAAGAGGTAGCAAAGAAGCAATGAGAGAAGGTTTATAAAGGAGAACTGAGTAGGTGCAGTGTCCTCAGGGCCAAGAAGAGAAGCCAAGCAGCTAAGAGCGTCTGACTGAGAAACCGTGACTGGATTTATTTAGTAGGAGATCTTTGGGGGCCTCAGCAGAAGAGTTTGTGCAGGGCGGTTGGAGCAGAAGCTGGATCCCAGGCGTGAAGGAAGGGAGCGGGGAGGAGGCCAGACTTCGTGGGCTACTTATTACGTATTGAAAGGAATGAGGGAAAAGAGGGTCACTGGCGAAGGTAGAAAAGTCACGTGAAGATAATTTTAGAAGAGAAGGAGACTGAGACAGAGCTTAGGCAGTGAGGAAGGAGCCCTTTTGAGAGAGAGTTTGGAGGTTTTAAGAAATAGAGCAATTGATGAAACAGGGTTCAGGAATCAATAACACGAGAGAACATGGGGCCTTTGCAAAGCAGGGTGTAAAGGTTGCTGCTTGGAAAACTAGAGGAAGGGACGGGAAGTGGGACTCGGTGATGGTGGCCCGAATGAGCCCAGTGCTTCAGCGGCTGAGCGAGGAAAGCCACCCAACAACAGGTGCTTTGTCACCTACTGCCGGACTGCTGTCCAAGAGTCCAGGAAGGAGAATATAGTGACATGTTTCTTGATTTATTGCCTATTATTAATGAAGCAATAAATGAGTCAGCCTGTTATTACTGGGAACTTTCTAGGGATCCCGGGCTCTATTATAAGTGTTGCAAAATACAGAAAAAAGAAGCATAAGTCATGAATCCTACCTTCCCTGTCCCGTTGGTTGAAAAAACCAAAACTGTACAGAAATAACAGGGAATGATAAGAACCGGGTGAGCCGACCTGCAGGAAACCATTAATGCCTGCCAGCAATGACGTTGCATTTGAGAATGCAGCCTTTTGCAGAGATTCTGTAAGCAGCTCTATGACAAAGGTCCAGAGTAAGGACAAATATAATAAATTGCTTAGGAGAATGGCCCCTGGTGATAGTAGTAGCAGTAGTAAAATAACGATGATGATGATGATGATGATGGCTAATATTTATTCACTCATTTCATTCCTATGTGCCAGGCACTAGTTGCTTTTTCACAAATTAATTAAGTCAATCCTTACTACAACACTATAGGGTAGAAAGTATTTTCATTACCGTTTTACAGGTGAATAAACCGTGGCACAGATAGATGAAGTAACTTGCTCAAGGCCACAGGTAGGAAACGGCTAAGGCAAGATCGGTATCTGGGAAGTCTGGCTCGAGGCCCTGCTCATAATCACTGTCCACACGAACTTGTTAAATAGAGTTGATCAAAGGTGACAGCAGCAACTCCGAAGACTGGGTATCTCCGAGCAGATTCTCTCCGGCCTGAGTCAGGGTACAGTTGTGGAATCACATCCCAAACTAAAGCAAAATGATTTGATATGTTTTCCTGGACAATACCGGGGCCCAGTTTCCAGTTCATCCAGTAGTTGCCTGTAATTTCTGAATCTCAGGCTCCAGGAGCAGGTCTGATTTTTGCCTCTGTGATTGCTGCACTGTTGGCGCAGGGAGAAGGATGGTGTCCTTGGCTTGGGCGAAGGGCAAATAAATGAAAATGACTTGGGCTCTGAGTTGACACTGGAGCTGGGGAGGTGGGGCTTGGAGTTAGGGAACGAGATCACAGCTCTACGAGCCTCCTCCAGAGACCGTTAACGTGAGACTCGTATATATACATATATGCCATGTTCTCTTTACATGAGAGAGGGTGTTCTTGAAATTAATACAGTGCAAATCTATTTCAAATTATTGCTGATACTGATTCATAGTACTTTCTGTCATCATGAATTTTCTCATGTAGGAAGTGCCATAAAAATATCACAAAGTGAGGGGTCATAAAAAGAGCTCTTTCCTACTTGAAAAGGTTGGAAAACCTTGTTTAGAGCAGTGATCTCTAAACCCTTGAGAATTAGCTCCCTTATCACTTCAGAAAATTTGAGCAAACTGCATATATGTGTATTTATTATGAATTATTATTAGTGTTATTAGTGTTCCTCTGGGGGTTTCACAGCCCAGCACTGGGCACTTGGTGAGGGGGAGGTGGCAGGGCAGACTGGCAAAGCCTCAGGACAGCTTTCTCATTTGTTTTCCATTCAGGAGCCCAGAAGCAGCATTGTGCTGATTCAGGGGTGGTTTTCAGTGGCTCAGCCAGATTCACTTTTTTCCTTCCTATAGACCAAGGGAAGCATCTAGATTAGATTCCTGCACTTCTTACTGACACACTCCCAAGGGCCCACCTGGTTGTGGGAATCAGCCTATGTGATAAAAAGACTTTCTCAGTTTCCTGTCTTATTTTCTTGGTCTGATGTCCTTGGCAGACTTTTCAGTTGCTGCTCCCTTCCTCAAGACCTATAAAGACTCCCCATTACCTAACAGATCAAATCCAACCTCCTCACTTGGCATCCGAGACTCCATTTTATTTTATTTTTAAAGATTTTATTTATTCATTTGAGAGACACAGAGAGAGCATGAGCCAGTGGGGGGTGGGGGGCGGGGCAGAAGGAGAGGGAGAAGCCGACTGCCCACTGAGCAAGGAGCCCTGCACAGGGCTTGATCCCGGGACCCCGAGATCATGACCCGAGCTGAAGGCAGACACTTAACCGACTGAGCCACCCAGGTGCCCCCAAGACTCCATTTTACTTATCCAATTCATACCTTATGTATCTTTACATTAAACCTCCCCTTCAGTCAGGCTGGTCTCCTTACTGCCTTGACACTCCTACATACCCCTACCCCATCCCACCAGTGTGTGTGTGTGTGTGTGTGTGTGTGTGTGTGTGTGTGTGTCACAGAATAAGCAAAAACTGCAGTTTTTGCTTATTCTGTCTTTATGGCCTCAGGCTGTTTACCCCAAGTGGAAACCCCTCCTCATCCTTCTGTATCAGTCAAACTACCTACTCTTCAAAAATAAGATGAGCCTACCTCTTGTATAAAGATTTTACTAAATGCTTCTCCAAGTGTCATCCTTAGACAGCCTGCATCAGATTATCACCTAGGATGGTTGTTATAAATGTGAATCCTCCATTCTCACTTTAGAACCCATGAACCACAACTCCTGGAAGCAAGGCCAAGGAATCTGCATTTTAGGAGGGTGTTTATGGTACACAGTGCAGTCTGAGGGTGCTGTTACCTGGTAACTTGGGACACAGCCCTCTCTTTTGCCACAGACCCCCATTTTTCTCTTGAGTTGAGACCTATGGACAGGCATCTCTGAGTATTCTACGAGGATTTCCTGGCTCCCAGGGCACTTGTAGGCCTCTCCCAGAGAAGCTCTGTTCTCCCCTCCACCCTCCCCCCACACCCCTACCCTTGTGGCAGCTCAATAAGGAGGTCCTGCACATCTGGAATATAGGAGGGCTGCAGGCCTCAAGTCTTCAAGTCATCTTTATGGCCACTGACTATACCTGAACTGAGAAGCCAGGTTCCAAAGGCCAAAAGTGGAGCAGACTGAGGGCTGGGAGTGTGAAGTGAGAATTAGGGGCACAGCGGGTCTACCTGACAGGAGTGAATATGTTTACCCACCTGCAGAGAGGAGAGCTGAACCGGAACACCAGCCATGGCAGTCTCCAGTAGAGTGGAGAACTCCTAGGATAAGGAGCTCTCTGCTGACCTTTCTCTTTTTTCCCCAGGGTTTCTCTTGTCCCATCAGGGATCCCTAGATATGAGCTAGGTTGGAAGATGAAACACGAGGTCTAGAAAATTGAATGTTGCCAAGTCTACCTCTGTTAACTAACTGGACAAATAGAAGTTCCAGTGGGTGCCCAGGAACTCCAGCCTTGAGTTAGAAAACAAGGAGAAACATACTGCAAGTTCTTTCTGGCTGGAGTTTGGTATTCCCTTTGTCTTCTTAGTGAGGCGCCTCACTGCATTTAGGAATTGGATTCTGTGCCTGTGTGTGTGTGTGTGTGTGTGTGTGTGTGTGTGTGACCAATTAGTATAACCAGCCTCATCTTGGATTGAAAAAAAAATCCCCAGATGGAAGTAATTGTATTCATAAGCCCTTGTATTTTTAGAATGCCTTTTCCAGAAAGCTCAAAGCATAGCACCCTGTGGCATAACCTCGTTTGTTCCTGGACAATCTCCAGGTATTTGGTAAGGGGGCAGCTTCTATAATCATTGTCATTTTACATTTAGAGGATGGAGAAGCTTTGTGGGTTGAAAAGGTCACACGGCATTGGCGGCAGATTTGGCAACAGGATACTCAGCTTCTACTCCTGTCTCTATCAATGATTTCCAGACAGAGGCCCCCAGATTAATGCTGTGATGGCTGTGTAAGCAGCACTTGTGGAATTAATTAAAAATATAGATTCCTGGACTCCCTTTCTCTGGAGATTCCAACTCAGTAGGGCTGGGGTGGGACCCAGGAATCTATATTCTCTACAAGCATTCCAGATAATTCTGATGCGCTGCCAGCTCTGGAAACTAATACTATAGACCATATGACAACCACACGATCCACCTATTTCCTCCCAGAAATGTCTTCGACTGCAACATGACTCTTTAATATTTTTCATCTTGCCACCCACCCTCAAACCTCCCCAGGCCTCCCGGCTCAGGCCAAGAAACATGCTGAGTCTGCCAAGAACACGCTGCTGACCTGGAAGGGAAGCAGGACCTCAAACAAAGAGAAGAAGGAAATCCTGGAAGCCCTGGTCATGCTGTACTACACCCTGGGGGTGGCCTGGCTCCTACAGAACTGATATCCTTCCCTTCCTAGTGGGGTCTGGTGATTGGGGCCTGGGGCCACCTGGGCCTGCTGGATGGACTGTCTCACACAGGAGCCGGGGAGATCTACCCAGGCTTCAAGGCTCTGTTGAGACAGACAGGCACCCCCCGCCCCCCAGCTTCTCATCTCCATTTATAAAGGTAGGAATGTTCCTCCTCTGTCTATTCATAGGAACTCTGAGTCGAGCCCTGGGAGGGATCTCACTGGTGACACATCCCCTGCCAGTTGAAAAGTTTTCGGCGTCTAGGGCGCCTGGGCGGCTCAGTCGGTTAAGCGACTGCCTTCGGCTCAGGTCATGATCCTGGAGTCCCGGGATCGAGTCCCGCATCGGGCTCCCTGCTCGGCAGGGAGTCTGCTTCTCCCTTTGACCCTCCCCCCTCTTGTGCTCTCTCATTCTCTCTCTCTCAAATAAATAAATAAAATCCTAAAAAAAAAGAAAAAGAAAAGAAAAGTTTTCGGCGTCTGTCCTGCCCTTCATCGAGCACCCCGAGAAGATCAGTGTTAGCAGTGAGGACGCAGGCGATGTCAGGAAGAGGGAGAATGGGTGGGTGGTAATTTAAAGCACTGTTGGTCAAACGAGGCTGCACATGTAATCCCCTGGGAGCTTTAAAAATTATTGCTGTTTGGGTCCCACCCCAGAGATTTTAATTTAGGAGGTCTGGGGTGCATCTGTTTATTGAGATTTTTAGAAAGTCCCCCAGGTGATTGTAACATGCAGCCAGAAACCTCTGATTTAATGGACTCTTGATCATTTTTGTTTTTCTGAAATGCTGTTGAGAATACTGCCCATGAAGCTGGAGGCCAAGCAAAATAGACAAAAGAAATAGTTCTCTATCGCCAGGGGGGAACTGTTACTCTGCGAAAAGCTTGTGATGTTGACCAGCCTTTTGGTACCATGTCTACTTGAGAACTGTTAAGGGCGTTTCATGTTCATGAATGATCATATACACAGTTGGAACGATACAGAGATTAGCATGGCCTCTGCGCAGGGGTGACACACACACATGTAAAGCATTCCATATTAAAAAAATTAATCATGAGTCTTCTTTGAGACCATGGGTCCCCAGTTCTCTCCTCTTTACACATCCCCCTCTCTACTCTTTTGATCTTGATGCTCAACTTGCAAAAACTGATCTGTGGCCTTCCTCTGTTATGCCCTTAGAAGGGGCTATTGAAAATGTGGGAAATAGAAGGCAGTTTGGGAATTAAGGGGATTTTCTTTCCTGCTGTTTGCTTCTTGCCAAAAACCTGCTCTGCTTGGACTTTCTGAATGATCCAGAAAGTCCCTTTCAGCAGACTTAGTTCCTCTCTTTTACCATTCATAGGAACCAAATGGGAAAACTGCATGGCTCTTGCCAGGCGGTGGATGCCTCCACAGGAAATGTAGCCTAGGGGGTGCAGTTTCTGTTACGCCTCCCCATGCTCACCACCCAGCCCAGCCCTGGATTCAGGCTACCGGCATGGGAAACCTGGGGCTCTTGTTCGTTTTCTAAAGAATTCTTGATGACATACACATAAGGAAAATTAAGAACACAGTAAAGTGCTCATTTTCAAATTCTGCTTCATTTTCCCAAGGGGTTTGCTTATCAACGGCTGTCCCTGGGCAATGGGGGAGTTTGTGTGCCTCGCCTTTTCCTTGACTGTTTCACTGGCAGAGAGGCTTATTTCAACCTGCAGAAGGCAGAGAGAAACATGAAGGAGCTGAAAGAATTATTTAAGGGAAGTGTTCGCAAATCCCAAGTCTCAGAGAAAGACCTGACCATTGCTTTGGGCAGGTAAGATCTGGGCTTTGAGAAGCTTAGGCTTTGTGAATGAGGCCTGGAATTACATGATTGTTCTGTGTGCTCTTTATATAAGGGGAGAAAAAATACTCATGGCAAAAAAAAACCCCCAAGCCTCAAATGATGGTAAAAGAGGCTTGGGTTTCCCAAACGCACACCCCATGGTCTGAGCTTTGTGTGTGGTACCCTTTAATCCTAAAACACCACTGAGGTAGTTGGCACAGTTAGAGTCTCATTAGACAGAGGGCAGGGAAAGCCAGGCTGAGATTAAACAAACCGTCCACGGTGACAAGCTTTAAGTGTTGGATCCGTGGTCTGAACTCACGGACTCCTAGCCCTATGCTGCCTCTCACACTTACTCTCAAATTATGTCTTTTTCTGAATCGCCACCCACTTCTGTCATTAAGTATGATATCTTAAAAGACAAGGAAAGAACACTATGTGAAGACCGTTTATTGGAGGCCCATGGAAGCTATGCGCAGCATGTGCATTTTTAAGGAAAGTTCTGTTCCATATGGAAACAAATTACATGGGATTTATTCAAGCCAGAACAAGCCTTAGCTGTTTTGCAGTTGAGTTAGGTATCCTCAGAGAGAATCACGATATTTACATACAAGAGTGGGCCCATCAGATTATTGGAAGAAAAAAAGAATAATAAAAGGTTTACTATTCCCTAGGCTTTTATAAAATATCTTCAGATCCTTGAAAGCAATCTGTTTCCAAAACTGTAAGCACTTGACATGGTAAGAAAGGGGACTGAAGGGTAAGTAAGTGAAGTACACGAGTCATGTCTGCCTGCTCTAACCATGAATCTAGAAGTCAAATGGGAAATGGTGGGGAGGTATTGGAATGCCCAGAGCTAAATCTAACGATGGATGTAAGTCCACAGGCCCATAAATTAGAGTCTAGTGAATGTCTGTTGCTGTCACATGGGTCAGTGGCTAAGGTTTTTGTGCCTTATGTGAAAGACAGCCTTGTTCCTTTTTCAGAATAAACTCTAGTATATATTTCATTCATTCATTCTTCAGTATTTATCTAGTATCTATTTTGTACGTGCACTGTTCTAAGTGTTGGAACATTTACTAGGTATAACTATATCCAAGACACTAGTCTAAGTGCTTCACATAATTTATTTAATTCAATCCTCTATTACAAGCCTATGAGGTAGATATTTTTATTTTCATTTCACAGATAAGAAAATTAAGGCACAGAAAGAGTAAGTGGAGGAGCCAACACGTAGATGGGGCATCTGAACTCATAGCTCACCTTCTGTACCACATCGAGTTACATTTCATAATGAACAAATATCTAGTAAGGGCAAATCCCTTTTCTCGTTTTAAAGGTGGGGGGAAGATAAAGCGTGATTGTGTAGGCCAGGCAACTTGGCTGATATCTCCCTATAGGCTCTTGATGAGAGGCATTTTCATTCTGTAACCTTTACTATTATGGTCAAGGGCAATAGTGGTCTGATTGATCAAAATGTTTTGGTAAAGAATTGTCAGATAATGGGCCAGTATTCTTTTGATTGTTAAACTGTAACTTGTAGAATGCCTTATCTAAAATAATTTTATACACACACATATTTTTTTTTTCAATTTGGGAATACAAAGATGGAAGCAAGAGGTGAGGGGGAGTGATAGTGATTGTATATCCACTGTATGTTAAGTGATTTCATGTACAAATTTTAATCGAATCTTCACAACAACCTTGTAAAGTAGGTATTCTTACCCTTGTTTTATCTGGAAGGAAATATAGGCTATTAGTGTTTGACTGTAAAGCCAATAACTTGTGAGAAACGGCTTTGAACTACCATGTTCTTCTCCTTGTATCTTACTGTCTCTAGAGGGATAAACCTGAATGGGATGCTATTTTATTCTCATTTTTAAGAATTATATTTTGTTTTGGAAGATTTGAAAATACAGATATGAAGAAGAAAATAAAAGTTAGTTTTAATTTCACCCCCCAAACATAACTGCTATGGACATTTTAGTTAAATATAGATATAGATAGATAGATACACATTTTAGTTGGATAAAGATACATAGATGGATAGGAAGATGGATCTGTCAGGGTCCATTTTAAGTACAGTTGTATCACTTTTTTAAGCTTAGCACACTTTTAATTTTTCCCCATATTATTTAGTCTAAAAAGGAAGCATGATTTTTAAAGTCTGAAGTATTTTATTGTATCACTTGTCATAATTTACTTAACCACTGCCTTTTGGAAGGGATATTTACATTGTTTTCTCTTTCCTCTCTCATTTTTAACTGAGGAGGAATAAACTAAACTAAATCAAACAAGACAAAGCAATAACTTTGCATTGGTCTGAAAGAGAGGGATCCGGAAGTAATAAAATTTTATTTTGATTCTAGAAAGTCTGTGTTTATGGGTAAATTATCCCTCCTTGTGAATTGCTGGAAGCCATTTTTTCCATTTGCTTTTTAAATAAAATTAGACTACAGCATGCTATATTAATGGAAGTAAATGGTAGTCAGTGGAATCTGGTAGGTGAAATGCAGGTTAATAGGAGCTTGTTTATAGCAAGACTGGATTTTTTAGCTAGCCACTGAGGTGATTGGCCTATGAAGGCCAAGTTATTTTGTTCTTAGAATCAGTTCCTTTTCTGTCTGCACAAGTAAGGCGCCTCTCTGACTTTGCATCTTTGTCCTTCTTCTTATAGGGCCTCCTTGGCTATCCACAGATTGAACCTCGCTCTGGCATACTTTGAAAAGGCAATTGGCGATGTTATTGCTGCTAAGGGTGATAAGACTTTGGATCTGGTCAGTCTATATGAGGAAATTGCTCAGATTGAGCAGCTGAGAAGGAACCATGATCGGGCCATCCAGTACTTGCAGCAGGTTGGTGCGTTGGCTGGAGCCCTAGCCTAGAGGCCATATTTGGCCCCAGGCCATATTCCCAGGGCCAGGGAGGCTTGGGGTTTTCAGAAGAATGAGGTGATAGGATGGATTTCCTGCCAGATCCACACAAGAGCCCTTCCTCAACCTTAAACAACATGGGCAGAGAACACTGACTCATGGTGGGTGTCTCTGCTCTTTGACCTGATCTGAGACCAAATTTTGTGCGGCTCCCCCACAAGGCCTCCCCTCATTTCTGTGGGTGCTAGGAAGAGGTAACCAAGTGAGTCTGCTCCAGGGAAAAAAGCCATAGGGGCAACCAAACTTAAGTCTTTAGCAAACACAAAGGGCTTTTTTTAAAATGAAAAAAATCATGATATTTTGGTATAATGCTGTCATTTGTCCTCTAGGCCAGCCTAGCTGTTTGTATCAACAAGTCTAAACTTAAACTGACAAAAGCGTGTTTCACTTGGAGGTAACTAATTTGACAAATGCCCAGGGGAAGACAAAACAAAACAGGAAGGAATGTTAAGTCTATTATAATGAAAACAGTGTAGGGCATTTTTACCTATCACGTACTTGGAACTTCCCTTGAAACTGCTTGTTGAATTGACCTTTTCTCTCCTCAAATGAGAACCGTCTTGTGGCTTCAGGTATCTCCCAAAGTCAAAAGTGGATCAAAATAGCTGATTTTGTTGCTCTTGCACGTGCAATGCAATTCAACAGTATATGTGAAAACAGGCTGATACTATAGCAAAGACATTGCGGATAATCCCACGATCGAAAGTTATTAGAATCATACAGTGGAAAAATGTTAGGGGATGCTGCTCTGTAAGCAGGGAGTCCACTGCTTACAGGGAAAGCTGTCTGGTTTTTGTATCCAAGACTTTGTGCAAGCAGTGGTCAGATCAGAATAGATAAATCAATATAAAACCAGTGTTTCCCAACAACAAATAATAGTTAACATTTATGGAATGCTTTTACTGTGTGCACTTGAGGATGTAGTTATTTCATCCAAGCAACAACCCTATGCCATGGAGGCATTATTATTATTTTATCTCATTTTACGGGTGAGGAAACCGAAGCATAAAGAGTCACAACTAATTCAGCTGAAGTGTTAGCTAAGAAGTAGGAGAGCAGGGATTTGAACTTAGAAAATTTGAGCCCCCAGAGCCTGGGGGCTTAACAACTCTGAACTGTGTTAGCTCCACAGGGTTGTCTGATAATCGCTGGAGCTCCTTGAAATACCTCATGGTGTTTGACCTGTGAACTGTGAAGCATGGTGATTTTTTTCTTGCTGGTGGGTGTGGACCAGATGGTTTCTCTCTTTTTTCTCCTTCCATTTTAGTGCGAATGATAATAGTAATAAAATCTTCACTTCTCTCATGCTTATGACATTCTAGGTGGTATTCTAAACACTTTACATGTATTAGTGCATTTAATCGTTACAGCAACTGTTTGCAACAGTCTTTTCTGAAATTCCTATTTTATATTTGAAGAAGTTAGTGACTTGCCTGATGTCATAAGTAGCTGAGCTGTGATAGGAACCCAGGCAGTGTGGGTTGAGGATCCATGCTCAACTCCCCTGGATTTCCTTTGATAATGAACCTTTGAGGGGCTGAGCTAAAGTTGTGATTGTAATTTTGCTATGAAACTTAAAAAAAAAATAATGGCTAATATTTATTGAGGACTTACCATGTGACGGTACTATGTATGCCCAGTGCTCTGCATGTATCATCTCATTTAATCTTTTCCAAACCCTAATCAATGGAAGCTGTATATTTCTTCTACAAGTGAAGGTGAAGTGACTTGCTCAAGACTCACAGCTAGGAAGTAGCTGGGACTCAAACTCATCTCTCTTGTAACTCCGTGATTAGGTACATACAGCCCTCAACCAGCAATTTCATGAGAACGATTAGAAAATCCTCAGTGAAACACTGTCATTTGGGTACTTACTTGATCTGTTTTTCTCTATTCCAGGCCTATTCTATCTGTGTTTCTTTGTTCACCGAAGTCAGCCCCCAAACTGCAGAGGCAAGCGCATTACTAGCCAAGGCTCATGCCATGTCTGGAGAGGCCCAACACAGGGGTAGGTAGAGGGGGTAGCTTGCAGTTATCATCATTTCCCATGGGAGGGAAGCACACTGGCAATGGTCTATCAATATGGACGGATTATAATCAGCTATTCATGACTGTGATGGAAAAATTAGACTGGACGCCATTTTGTACAATATCATTTACACATGAATTTAAGCACGATATCTCCGCAAATTAGTTGGAACATCAAAACCAATAAAATCATCTGATTTCTATTTCCTTTATTCCCTTAGAACCTCAGCAGAATTCACCTGCATAAAGAGTAGAGAGCTCATACACGCTATGAATGTGACCTGTGGTGTATCCGTTGATGAGGAAATCCAGTGATAAAAGACATAACATTGGCTCCTCCTCCCCTCCTCCTCCATTCTCAACCTCCTTGACTTTTCCTCTGGCTGACAAGAGAGAATGTTTGTAGCAGTTAGAATTTTCATGACCTATACTCAAAAGTGAGGTATTGGGGGGTTCTGGAGGAAAACCAAGGCATGAATTAACCCATCAGCAATAGTCCTTTCTCAGGCAAGGTCATCATTTGGGAAGTAAGTAGCTTTGGGAGAGACACAAAAGAGCTGGTGAGGAAGGACTGCATGCCCTTTTCAGCTGCTGGATCAGATTAATGGACACTAATGCATTCAGTGGCCCATCAGGAGGAATTTGGGATTTGTGAAGAATATGATTTAAACATTTAAAAATGTTGATTTTCTCTGCTTATAAAAGGAATCCATTTAGGTGTACATTATTTTCTAGTCATATATGAAAAAGAGAGAGAGGAAGAGGAAGAGAGAATTATAGGGAAAGTTTTGTATCCTACTTTTTTCTACTCTTCTATTTTCCCATATCATTAAACAATTTTGTTCAGTTTTCAGAAGTTATTTGATATTTTTATTATTGTTTTCTTTAGCATAAATGTTCATTGAAGACTTCCTGATTCTGTGTTTTCTAGCTAATCATCTTGCTTCTTTAAAAAATTTTCTTGTGTATATCACAGTATTTGTACTCCATCTATATGTTTGAATTTTTTTTTAAATAGTCTTCATGGTTATAACATGTTTAGTCTTTATGTGAATATGTAAAAATTTTGTTCATATAAGAAAATTTTATGCTTCTAGAGTTGGGAGATTCTAAGGCCACCTTATTCTTTTCTTGTATACTAATTTTTAACTTTAAAGAAGATTTGGATCTTCACCTACTATCATTCGCTAAATTCCAAATGGATCACATTTTAACATCAAAACTGAAAATTATCCAGAAGGAAATTCAACACTGGAATCAAAATTCCTAAAATTAAAAATTGGAGGAAAGAAGAACTTTCTGAGCACATGAAGTTATACTAGAAAAGAAGAGGTTGATAGGTTTAATTATAAAAAGATCTAAAACTTATGTCTGTCACAAAATACCATAAATAAAATGAAAAACAAACGGTGTAATCCAAAATGAACAGATAACTCAAATAGGCCCTTACTTATTAAAAAAAAAATTTGTAGTTAACTTTCTGAGAAAGAAATATCAACGTCCAAATGATGTCACTGGGTAATTCTACTTCACATTTAAAGAAGGATTAACACCCATCCTACATAATCTTTTCTGGAAAATTGAAAAGGAGGGAACATTTCCCAACCCATTTTATGAGGCTAGCAGCACCCTGATACCAAAACTGGGCAAAGACACTACAAGAAAAAAACAAAACACAACTATAAAACAATGCCCTTCATGCACATAAATGCAAGAAATCCTCAAGAAAATATATAGCAATGTATAAAAATGAATAATACACCATGATCAAGGGGAGCTTTTTGCTTGAGAATATCAGGCTGGTGCAGTATTTAAAGCTGAATGAATGTACTCTACCATATTAATAGTCCAGAGATGAAAAGCACATAATCTTATCAACTGATGCAGAAGAAGCATGTGACAAAATGCAACATCCTTTCATGATGGAAGGGGAACTTCCTCAATCTGATAAAAGGCATGTGCAAAGAAATACAGCTAACATCATGCTTAATGGTGAAAGAGTGAGTTTTTTGCTCTTAAGATCAGGAACAAGGCAAGGATGTTCATTCTCACTTCTTTCAGTTAACATAATACTGGAAGTCCTAGCCAGTGCAGTAGGCAAGAAAAAGACATACAGCTTGATTGATCTGGTTTTTAAATTTATCTCTACACCCAATGTGGGGCTTGAATTCATGACCCCAAGATCAAGAGTCACATGCTCTACCGACTGAGCCAGGCAGGCGCCCCTGAGACATACAGCTTAAAAGAAAGAAAATGGTCCTCATTTGCAACAATACAGCTGTTTCTGTTGAAAATTCCAAGAAATCTACAAAACTCCTAGAACTAATAACTGAGTTTAAGGTTAGCAAGATCACAGAATATAAGGTCAACAGACAAAACCCAGTCATATTTCTATATATTAACAGTGTACAACTGGAAACTGAAATTTTTAGAAATACAACTTACAATAGCCACCTCTTCCCAAATGGAACAGTTAGGTGTAAATCTAACAAAATATGTACAATATCTGGGTGCTGAAAACTACAAAACCCTCATCAAAGAAATCAGAGATGGCCTAAATAAATGGAGACATAATGTATTCATAGATTGGATGACATACAGTAAAGTTGTCATTTTTATAAAAATTGATGTATTGATTTAACACAAATTAACAATCAAAATCCCAGCAGGAATTTTTGTAAATACAGACAAGCTGACTCTAAAATTTATATAGAAATGCAAAGAAATTAGAACAGCTGAAACAATTTTGAAAAATAATATAATTGGAGAAATCATACTACCTGATTTAAGATTTATTATAAAGCAACAGTAATCAAGAGAGTTCAGAGTCACTGGAACACAATAGAGAGTCCAGAAATAGACCTGTATAAATATGGCCAATTTTTGGCAAAGATGCTAAGATAGTTCAGTGTGGAAAGAATAGTCTTTTCAACAATGGTTTTGGAACAGTTGGAACAATGGTATTCGCATGCCAAAAGAAAAAAGAATAAAAAAAACCCACTTTCATAAACATACACAAACATTAACTCAAAATGGATCATTGTCTTAAATGTAAGAGCTAAAATTTCCATTTACAGTAGAAAAATAGGGAAAAAAATAAGACTGAGCATTACATAAAGAAAACAATGGCCAATAATCACATGAAAAGTTTCAATCATAGTAATAATGAAGAAATATAAAACAGCAAGGATACCAAGTTTCTATTAGATTGTCAACACTGCAAAAAAATGATAACATTTAGGATTGAGCCGTGGTGGGGCCTGGTTAGTACTTGGATAGGAGAGCAATTTGATACAAACTCTCTGAACTGTAATTTGACAGAATGTTACACATCTTAAAACTATACATACCTTTAAAATCAAGTTTTCACCCATCCTCTGTAAAAATTTTTTAAATATGTAAATCTCTAGCATTTGCCAGATTATGGGAAAACAGTTCTGCTCATTCATAGACGGTGGGTGTGATAGTATAAATTGATATGAAATTTGCAAAACAACATGATAATACCTAGTAAAATCAAAAGGAAACATGTATAAGGATGTTCAATGTGGCACTGTTTGTAATTACAAAAAAAATTAGAAACAACCTAAATGTTTATCAATGAGTGAAATGAATATTTGGTATATGAGTGAGAGGGAATTCTGCGGTCTTTAAAAGAATTAGACTTTATAAATAAAAAGGGTTAAAAACAACAGAATTAAGGAGAAAATACCTTGCATTTTTAGGACATAAAAAATACTATTGTTTATAGTTACATACACTTTTATATATGTGCATATATATATATAAACATGACAAATTCGCAGAGTAGGTGAAACTGCATCAAAATGTACATCACAATGTAAACAAAGGTAGAGACTTCCAGCTCGGCCTTTGTGAAGAGGTCTGTGGATCCTTTCAACACACACACACACACACACACCCATTAAATAAAATGGTCAAAAACAATCATTTGAGGGCACTGGAAATAAACAAGCAGACAACAAATTGCAAAGCATTCTTGAAAAACTGCTAGAGTCTTGGGTAAAGAGAGAGTCCTCTTGGCCTTTTGGCCTGAGGCTGCTCCTACCCACTCACGGCCCCAGCTCAGTCCATGAGAAGAGCAATTTTATCAGAATGGGGCTGAGAGAACCAGCAGCTTTGTGGCAGAGGCATCAGACTCCATTCAGAGCAAGGGGCAAAACCCCACAGATGCATCAGGTAAAAGTGGCAACCTCAAAAAAAATAAGGGAAAACCTGCGTATTTGGTAGCCTGAAGTTGCTGTGCTGGTTTGTAGGAGTTCAAGGCCGCTCAGAAATGTTAACAGGAAGAACCTGGAAATGAGAGAGCCAAGAAAAGGCCACATAAGCCCCCAGCCTGCTGGGAAACGACATACATGTGCAGGGAAGATGTGGAAAATAATAAGCAAAGGAGACTTGAAATGCAGCAGAGTTTGAATGCACACCCCCATCTACATACAGATCAATCGATAGACAATGGAAGACATACACTGTGAAGGTTTTTGAGCACAACCTCTTTCTAAGTCAGTCACTTGGGTCAACACTAAGCTATGCAGGCAGAGGGGTAATCCCAGGAATCCAGACCAAAATTTTGAAAAATAAACGTTAAAACACAAGCAAAGACTTAGGTCTCTAGTCTGGCATGTAGGAGCTTGGAAGTTGTCACTGCATCCTAACAATAAGTAAAAAGCTGAACAAACTGGAAACTCAACCACTCTTCTTAGATCTGGCAGAGAAGTGAGGTCACAGGGCAAACCACTGCCCCTGACACTGGAGAGACAGATGAATCCAGAGAACCACAGTTTGCCTGAGCAGATACCTCTCTCGAAAGGAACCAGTACTGGGTAGGAATACCTGACCGGTAACTGATACATTTCTGGAAGCCCAGTGTGGGCAAGACAGAGAGTTAAAAATTCCAAGTACCCAGTCATAGGGGGGGTTTCCACAGTTTTATGAAATTTACCTCCAGGAACTTGACCAGGTTCTCAAAGTGAAAATGGAGAAAAATGCCCCCTTGCTTCCAGCAGGGAGAGGGGAAAAATATCCAATTAAAAATATGCCAGAGCTTGCTGCTAAACAAGGTCTGTCCTCAAGACACTATTTTACCAGAGCCTAAGCTACTGGGGGTTTTTTCAGAGCCTAACCAGCCTGGGGGAAGGAAATACCCAACTTCAGCCCACTCTAGCCATCCTGTCCCACCTAAAGGAGAAAGGGACCAAGAGGCACTCGTGAGGTCCACAGGGCAGAAGCACAGGCTCACCAAAACACGGAGAGCTAATCATAGGACTACAGAATGCTTTCTCCCCCCGAGCCCCACCTCTTACCACCAATTACTAGAGGTCTATTTAAAGTTTATTTTACCCAGCACATCGTGTCCACCTATCAAGAACAATTTTAAGTAAAAGGCAAAAACAAAACAAAAGAAACCCCCAAAACAAACAAAAAAACAAACCTAAAAAACCACACCGTTTTTGAAGAGACAAGACTCAGATATAGTAGGGATATTTGAATGCTCAGACTGGGAATTTAAAACAACTGTGTGATGTCCAAGGGCAGGAGATAGATGTCCCAGCTCAAGATTAGTGAAAGAGACTTCACCCTTCTTCTTCTTCTTCTTTTTTTTTTTTTTAATTCTCTTTGAGCCCTCAATGGATGGAATGATGCCCACTCACACCGGTGAGGGCAGATCTTCTTTACTCGGTCTACTGATTCAGATGCTAATTTCTCTTGGAGACACCCTCACAGATACACTCTAGAAATAATGTTTTATCAGCTATTTGGGCATCCCTTAGCACGGTCAAGTTGACACAAAATTCAACATGACAAGTCCACTCCTTGTCAACTTGATCCTTACAT